GAGTGCTGGGATTATTCACAGAATTACAATCCAGATTCCAACTGCATGGTAATCTGATAAGGTGCTGCCTGCTGGAGGAAACTCCCCCTTCAAAAAGAAAAGAACAGGAAAAGAAAGGGCTTAGCCACAGTATAAAACAGACCAAAACTGTAGGTGAAATCATTAAGAGGTAACACTATGGAGTGACAAGCAAAAGAGATAATGTGGTCTTGACTGCATTATTAGAAGTATAGACATTAGACAAAGGGAGGTGAAGTATCCTGCTCTACTCTGTTCTAGTGAAAAGCCAGGCCTGGAATACCACATGCAGTTATGTCAAAATTTAAAAGGCATATAGATACAATGAAATGAGTATAGATCAGGCAAACTAGGATGATTACAGGCCTAAAATCACATCTTAGGAGGAAATTTTTAATGGTAATATTTAGCAAGACGTAGACTTGAGAAAGCGCTATTGGTTCATCTTCAAACATGTCATGATCTATGGATAAGACGCTAAGTCTCTTCTCGATGAGTACAGTAGGGCATGGAGGGACTGATAGTCAGAACCGTCTAAAGAGGAATGGACTACAGGGCGAGATGGTGGGTTTCCAGTCCCTTGGAAGTGCTGGAGCAGGAGCTGAATGACCTGTGGGGCATCCAGCCACAGAACAGATTTCAAGACCTGGAGGGATGCATTGCTGGGAGGTAGGGGAGGGGCAGCCTACCTCAACTGCAGCAGCTCCGCATTTACCTACTTCACTTCTGACTTCCTGGGTAAGAAAGAGCTTAAAGGCTTAAGAAAGTCAGCCATGAGAGCAGGTTACCGGTTAAGTCTCCGCAAATGCTGAGATTCCTACACCTCCAGCACCAGAGGGAGCATCCTGACTCAAGCTGGGAGCTGTGCTGGAAGGAAAATGAAATCGTTTTCCTAGCTGAAAAGTCAGCTAGGTGACTCAGGAAAACGAAATCGCAGCATTTGTTCTGTGTGCTACTTCTTTCCTTCTTCCATCCAGTTCATTCCTTCCCTATTCTTTTATCGGTAAGATGTTAAAAAAAAAAAAAAAAAACCTTGATATTTAGATTTCAAACAATTCAGATAGGTTCCTTAAAAATGTGAGACCTAGAGTCACAGTCATGGTCTGACCCAGGAATTCCATGCCGGGGTATGTCCCCAGGGAAACAAAAACACATCCACCATAACCATACGTGAACATTCAGGGCAGCATATTCAAAATAGTCAAAAAGTGAAGACAACCCAAATGCCCATCAACGAGTGAACGAACAAACAAAGAACGATCCCTCTATACAGTGGAATATTATTCAGCCATAAAAAGGAATGAAGTCGTGACACCTGCTGCAACACGGAACCAGGAAACACCGCCATGGGAAAAAGCCAGACACAAAAAGCCACTTACTCCACAGCTGCAGTCACACTAAACATCCAGAACTGAAAGACACAAAGCAGGGCCATGGTTGCTGGGTCTGGGGCAATGTTGTTACTGAGGACTGCTATTAGGTAGTGGGGTTTTTTTGAGGGGATTCAAAATGTCCTAAAATTAGGCGATGCCTGCCCAATTCTGCAACTATACTAAAACTTAATTGCACACTTTTAAGGGTGAATTTTTATGCTATGTGAATAACATTGCAATAAAGCTGTTATTAAAATAAAAACAAAGATTCAGACTAGTATTGTTACAGGGCAGGGAGAGGGGCAGCCCAAGCCCCGCAAACCTGCCTATTCTAAATGGTTCTTCCATCTGCCGCATCAACACAAAACATGTGAGACTTTAATGGGAAGGAACTTTAATACAACTAGGAAACAATACAGAAAAAGCAAAGAATCTAGATTCTGAATCAAGCACCCAAAGTTACCCGTCCCCCCGTGGGTAAAACTCCATCCAAATGGGATTGGCCCAGAGCAAGGCCCCAAAGCCTGCCACAAGTCTAAGGCATCTTCCAGTGGGGACCCACAGAAAAGGGTCAGAAACAACCAGACAAGCCCGGAAGGAAAAGAGCAAAATCAACATCAAGATAAAAGCTGCCATGGTCACCTCCCCACGGGTCTCACCCACATCTGTGTCACCCAGTCCACGACCAAAAGACAAGCGCAGTTTCTTTACATGCCTCTTGGCCCCATGCGCCTCCTCCAGGTCTCCTTCTGGCTCTCCATGCTGCTTCCTTCCTTCCTCAGTCTCCTCTGCAGCTTCTATTGCTCCCTGCTTAGCTCCACCCTCCATTTGGGTGGGGCAGGGAACCGGGAACCTCCCCCTTTCCTGGGGACCACCCTGTTACAGTATCCAAGTCTTACTAGTTGTGGCTTTATAAAGTTACCAAATCTTTCTGAGATTTGGTTTTCTCCTGTGTAAAAGGGGATGGTAATCCTACCTACCTCAAAGGGGGACTGTGAAAACAATATGAAGGGGAGGATATAAATATTCCCCAAATCATAAATTGGCTCATAAATGACAGATATCATTCATCTTCAATTACTGTCATTTTTCTTAAAGTAAAGAAATTTGTGATGTCTGGCTCACTTGACAGCGTTCTAAATACTTTAAGAAAAACACTGGGCAGCTCTCCTGCCCACCTGTGACTATGCAGGTGCCTCTTTTTCTTTCTTCTTTTCCTAATAGACCTATTTTTAAAAATGTAAAAAAAGAAGAAAGAAAAACACTGAGCAAGTCAGTGTCTTCTATGAGCAAGTCAGTGTCTAAAAGATGAGAATGGACAGTTTTTTCAGGAGGCAAGATACTGCCTAACTTCACATTTAGCATCGACTACAAATTACGTAGGAGAGAAAGACAAAAAGTAGATGGGGGAGACAGCATCTCATTCATTAGAACAAAGCTTTCTTTTCTTCCCTTCTCATTTAGAGACTACCTTTTCTCACAAGGGCATTAACTGTGATAGTCATCCAACTATTAAATGCACGTTGTGTTTCCTAAAACTAATCTATGTAGGGCTTTTCAGATTCAGTCACTATCAAAAGCATGGCGTGTCCCTAACATGTGAAAATTTATGAGTTCATATATTGTGCTGTTGTGTATGGTCTTGCCATTGTAATGTAAATCTCTAATTTAAAAAGAAAGAAATTCTCAAAAAGCTAGCGACATGTCCCAATGTTTAATTTCTTTCCTGGTGAAATGGTGTTTCTGTGATTCATGCTTTAATTGAATCATCATAGTAATTAACTGAATTGTATTCATTTATATTTTCACTTAATGGCAGCCTCTTACAAAGAATAGTTTCACATCAAAACATCTGTTGCCTAAGACATCATCCGTTAACATTCACGTCCGCCCCACAGACTACTCTTGCTTGAAACTTATTTTCCTAAAGTGAGCAAAAAATAATAAAGCCAGAGCTAAGAACACTTTGAGAATAGCAGCTTAATAGACACGATTCTATTTTGTTTTCAGAACAAATTGATTGATTGAAGTTATTTTAAAGTAATGTTCCTTTATCTTAGTTATACAACAGAGAAAAGATGGCTTTTACTTTTTTCTAGACCTCTTCACCAGCAAACAACCTTACCAGGATTGCTGTGGGGATCTTTGATTACAAAAAAAAAAAAAACAACAACAGAAAACCAAACGTTCACAAATAGAAGTGTAAATAACTTCATGAACTGCTATTTAATGACATGACCAGCCCCCAAACAACCGCTCAAAGAAAAATATTTAGTCTCATTTTCATAACCTCAACCCACCCATCAACACATATGCCCACGTACTAATTTTCTAAAAGCCTTAATAACGCCTGGCATATGCCTTTCACCACTCACATAGGGGAAATTCTGGGATACCTTTAAGATCACACATAGTCATTCAAACATGACTGGTGAGGGATCAATGGACTGGAGGCGCCCACTCAAGCCGCTGGGAGTAAGGCCGAGCTGGAGGGTCCCCGAGGGCAGCGGAGAACCCCTGTCCCAGGAGCGCCCTCAACACCTTGGCAGGATGGAGAGCAGGCCCTGCTCGGGGCGGTGTTCCATGTGGAGAAGGCAAGAACTTTCTTTCATTCCACTGAAAAGCGCATGACTAAATTCAGGAAGGCGCCCGTGCGATTAATATGAAAATTATAAGCTGCAAAAATAATCAGAGTGTACACGCTTCCGTGAAAAGGAGGCAGTTTCCCCAGAGCTGAAAATATCCGTGTAGAGGATGAATCAACACACTCATTAATCTTTATTGCCACAGTTAATACCTCCGGTTTGCAAACAGGTGTTGAACACCCAGAAAAGTTCTCCCAAACCACAAGCGCAAAATAAATTGCTTGAGGTGTCAAAGCGCCTAGAATTCCAAATCCCCCCGACGGCACCATCGGCGAACCCCATAAAATAAGCATGTTTTAAAACAAACTTTCGGGACCCTCTGATAAAGCAATAAACCCCACAGATTTCCAAAAAACAATCATGTGCTTAACTTTGGCGCATGAACTATCCCGCACCCCGGGCTCTGGAACACGCAGGGCGCAGCGCGGGCTCCCGCACCCCGCGGCGAGCGCGGTCCCCCGGCAGGCAGGGCGGAGGGGCGCCCCGGGGGGCCGCGCGGGTTCCCTCCCCAGAAAACCTAAAATCCACCCCTCCCCGGCAGCCGAGAGGAGCAAGTGGAGCCCTCGGGGCCGGGGTCGGGCCCGTCCGCCGGGCGCGCGAGGCTGCGCGGGGTTCCAGCCCGGAGCCCGGGGAGCCCCGGGGGGGCCCCGCCGCGGCGCGCGCCCCCGCGAGCTGTTCTGCGGCTGGCGATCGCTCCCCGAGCTCCCGGCCTCTCCGGACAGACGCGGGTTCGGAACCGAGAGCAGCACGTCCGCGGGCCGCGCGCGCGGGCCTCCCTGGCGCTCGGCCGGGCCGCGGGGCGCGGGGGTGGGGGGGCGCGGGGCCCCGAGCGCGGGCGGGCGGGCGGGCGGGCGCGGCCCAGCACAATGCCCCGCGGCGGCGGGAACCGCGCGCCCCCCCGCAACTCCGCGCGGCCTCCCGCGCCGGCCGCGCCCGCCCGCCGCCCGCCGCCGCCGCGCCTCACCGTTGCAGAACTGGAGCAGCGAGGCCGTGTCGTACAGGCTGCCGAAGCCCGCGAAGCCGTCCTCCATGCTGAGCCCGGCCGCCCGCCCCGGCCGGCCGCGCCGCGCCCTCACCCACACTAGCCGCGCCGAGCCGCGGCCGGGCGGGCGCTGGGGCCGGCCCTGCTGTGGCGGCGGCCGCGGCCGGTTACCATAGCAACCCCGGGCCCGCCGCCGCCGCCGCGCGAACAGGGCGCCCGCTCCGCCCGCCAGGGGGCGGCCTCGGCGGGGGACGTGGCCGGGCGGGGCCGGGGCGGGGCGGGCGGGGCGTGGGGCGGGGGGGCGGGAGGGCGGGGTCTCGGCGGGGAGGGGCGGGGCAGCGCGGGGAAGGGGCGGGCGGGGCCGCGGCGGAGGGGCGGGCCTCGGTGGGAGGGCGGGGTCTCGGCGGGGAGGGGCGGAGTCTCGGTGGGGAGGGAAAGGGCCGCAGCCGGCTGGGAAGGGGCGAGCAGGGCCGCGGCGGGGAGGGGCGGGGTCTCGGCGGGGAGGGGCGGGGCTTCGGCGGGGAGGGGCGGGGCCGCAGCCGGCCGGCCCGGCCCGGGTCCCCCCGCGGCTCAGGGGCGCCGCTGTCAGGCTCCGCCCCCCGCGCGGCCGTCTGTGTCTACCCGGACGGCGAGGTGCGGGGGACGCGGAGACAAAGGAGAGGCCTGAGGGCGGCGCTGGCGCCGTGAGAGGGGGCGCGCACCCTCGCGGCGGGCAGTGGGGCGCGGCGGCGCCGGGAAGGGGCGCGGCCCGGCCGGGGTCACCGCCCCCTTCCCACCGCCCCCCCCCCCCGCCGGACGCCTCGGTCCGCGCTCCCCGGAGGCGCTGTCCCCGCGCCCGCTGGCACCTCCAGGACCGAACCTGGACAACTTGCCAGCTGGTTTAAGCGGCTTGTCCAGGTCCGGGCAACGCCACAAGTCCTGCCTGCCAGCCGCGCCCCGTTGCACCCAGTTTTCCGCTGCAGCAATGCCGGGTCCCAAGGGGGGCTTGGCTCTGGGCTTGCAACTCCACTGGAACTTTCCATCAGGATCCAGGGGAACAGACGCGCTTCCCCTTCAAAAGGAGGCCCTGGAACTAGCAGGCTGATGCAGGGAGCGCACACACCCCGGGCCTGCCCCTCTGATGAGCCCACAGGTGACACCTCTGTCACCTTACAAACTGCTGACTTGTCACAGGGCCCAGGGAATCTACACGTGTGCCCTCAGAAGACAGGGCGAGTGGCCTGGACAGGCACATGCGGCCCCCGGGCACCTGAACTGCAGGTGCAAGGAAGTAGCAAGGAAGTCACGGGGAGAACAGGGAACAGGCTGGCGGGCTCGGTGCCCCTGACACTGATGCTCCTCCTGGCCCAAGTTCAAGTCCGCTGACATGTAAAAATCGCAGTGGTCCCAAGTTGTGGGTACTCATGGAACACAAGTAGGTGGAATGAGAACTGAATAAGAAGTTGCTATTTGGAAAATGGGGTTCAGCAGTGAAAAGGCCATCTTTACAGGAGTACCAGGCAGTGCCCGGACCAGCTGTGCCCCCACATGTGGGAGGTTTGGCATATGGGCTGTATTCCACGCTGAGGGGAGAAGGGGAGGGTCAGACCTTGCCCTGTGCTTGTCCGGGAGACCAGCCCAGAAGACAGACAGGAGGGGCTGTCGAGGGGGCCGGAGTCTTCGTGAGGCCTGGAGTGTGAGGACAGTGCTAGTGATTGTGGGGGAGAGAGGGGACAGGCCTCTTGAAGGCCAAAGGGCTGGCCTGACATGAATAGACTGCTTGTACTGCAGAGCGTGGGGAGAAGATGGAGCGAGAGAAGGGGGCTGGGTAGGAGAGGCCCCGGGAGCCCACAGGGGAGCCAGAACCAGACCCAGCACAAGATGAGGGAAGCAAGTGACTGATAGAGTGATATTAGAGAGATGAGTCTGTGCAAACTCACCGCGGGGAGCCAGGAGCTGGAGCACCCCAGGGTGTCTGCAGGACCAGGTGGGGACAGTCTGGAAAGGAGACTTGGGGACTGTCAGGGGGAGACGACCCCACAATGAGACAACTGGAACATCAGGCAGGCCCGAGAGGACAGCAAACCCCCCTTTGAAAATGCCCCATGGACATGGAAACCAGCCAGGGACTAGCCAGTGAGGGAACTGGGACTGGGAGCTTCTCAGCAACAAAGGTATAGAAAGGGCTGGAAGGTGGGACAGGAGCTAGGCCCAGCCTTGGAGAGGGAGGAGAGAAGGAAATTCCCATGGGCAGTCAGAGGCTAGGAGATCAACCTCATGTGTTCTCACTGAGCTAAGAGCACAGACAGCTACAAAGGGGTGTGCGTTTTCAGTGTTCTCTGCAGGAGTGGTCAAGGGTGGGGTGAGGCTGGGAAGGGTGCTTTTTCCCGGGGGTAGGGGGCTCGAGTGGGGACCTGGAGCATCTTGGTGAGAAGGGACAGGCCCCCAGCTGCTGGACAGCGAAAGGAGCATGCATGTGGATGCATGTTTCAGAACTTTGGGGGCAAGGAAAGGGGCCAATGTAAAGGGTAGGGCTGGCAGAAGGGTCATGCTCCCCAGCTCCAGTACCGGGGGGCTGTCTGCATCTTGGGCAGGGGCAGGTGCAATGGAGAAAGGACCTTTGACAGGTGAGGCTTCGCACAGGTGCACACTTGACCTTAGCTCTTCTCTGTCCTCTCACTTCCATCTTTCCCCTTCGAGTCCGACCCTTACCTGTGCTTCACCTTAGAGTGCCTTAGGATACATCGGAGCAGAGGTGTATGAGCTGGAATGTACGAGCAGAGGTGTATGTGCACGCTGGAATTTAGAAAGGAAGTGGTATTCGTGAATGATGGTGAAGAGGTGCTCCTGGAGGATGTTAGTGTTCTTGATTTATATGACAAAGGGAAGGTAGTTGAAGGCCACAACTAAGAAAAGTTAGGGAATAAAGGAGATTCACATGTGGGTCAGGATAAAAATCGAACTGGAGAGTGTCTTAGAAGATTTTACTTTAACTAGAAGACAATGACAAATAACCATTACAAACTCAATCTATTTGCTTTTGAAGTGATAAAGATCATTATTATGCGCTTAGCCGATGGCATTAAGCAGCTATGTGTTCCCCCCACCCTGTTAAAACCTTACTCTATAAAAAGCAAAATCTAGTCTAACTACAGGGCTATGCATGTTGAGTCAATAAGGTATAATCTAAGTAGCATTAAAAAAGATCTAGGAAGAAAGTTCAAGAAAAATCTCTGAAACCTTAATTAATAATGTGTAGTGTTGGGCCCAAACATTTTAACAGACTGTTATTCCACGTCATCTTGAGATAATTTATGGCCTGAGTCCAAAAAATAGTGTCATTGTAAGAAATGAAGTCCTCTTTTGAGGACAATATAACCACAACGTTGCTGGCGTTAATAGCAGCGTGTGTGCCACATGCGAGAAAGAGAAAGGAAAATGGCAACTCAGTTGCCTTTATTTGCTGAGAAGTAATAAAGCAAAAATTACCCAGAAACATGGGGCCTTGTACATCTATTGTTTAAATCAACATGTCTCCAAAAATAGTCACCCAGTACCAGGCACCCAGCTTGGGGTAGGGGAGACAGCAACTGAGCAGCGTTTCCAACCTGCAGCTGGCCTGAAGCGGGTTTAGAGAAACAACAACTCTTTAGAAAATGAAATCAGGAACTCCCGGCCTGGAACTATTCTCCAAAGAATTGAAAGCAAGTCTCGCAAAGGACACCCACACACCCAAGTGCACGCAGCAGTGTTTGCAACCAGGAAAATGTAGAAATGGCCCAAGTGTCCATCAGCAGATGAACGAATAAGCAAACGCGGCCCCACCATATCATGGGATACTATGCAGCCTTTAAAGGGAAGGGACTCTGACACCCGCTCAGCGTGGATGAGCCTAGAGGACGATCTGAGTAAAACAAGCCAGTCACAGAAGAACACAAAGACAGAAAGTAGAAGGGAGAGGTGTGAGGGCCTGGAGGAGAGAGAGACGGTGTTTCGGGGGAGAGAGTTTCAGTTTGGGACAGTGAGAGAATTCTGGAGACAGAAGTGGTGGTGGCTGGGTAGAATGGGAATGTGCTTAGCGCCGCTGAGCTGCACACTTGAAAATGCTTCAGATGAGGGCCTCCCTGGTGGTGCAACGGGTTGAGTGCAGTGCTGTGGGGCTGTCCACAGCCTCTGCAGCATGGGTTCAATCCCTGGCTGGCTAGGGAGATACCCACATGGCACGGCAGACCTCTCCTGTCTCGCCTGCTGCTCCCCTCAGCAGTGCTTTTGGTCGCCTGCCTGTTCTGCTCCCCACTCTGTCTCGGGTGAATTCTCTCACCCTCCCGTGCCTCTGGCCTGTACCCCAGCTTTTGTATAAATAAATAAATCTTTAAAAAAGAAACGCTTCAGATGGCACACGTCACGCGTAGTTTACTATGGGTTCCTATGAGCTGGCTACTAGCTGACTGCTCATGGGCAACGATTTCCCATCTTCTAATCCCAGCAGCGCACTCCCTGGCTACATACGGAGGATACCCCCCGTGACAAGGCAGGCCAGGGACGTCCAGGCCGCTGTGGACCTGATTACGAGACTATCTCCATGGTGGTCTCGGATAACTGCGTCGTGATAACATCACATGCTTTGCTGATGCAAATGTCTCGTGACGTATGGTGGCTATGTCCCCTTCTCTGTCCCTCGTAAATTTTGTCCCCCATTCCTACCCCACCCTCCGGACTTAATGCCTCGTTCCACTGTCGCATGATCAGCTTTTACCAGCCGGTGTGTCTTCAATAAATGGCACGAGAATGAATGTTCAAGGTGTTGGTAAAAATCCTTCAAAGACTGAGCAGCACAGTCTCACCTCGCAAACCTGCTCCACGACTGCTGTGTCCCTCATCACATCCCACTGCAGAGTGGCAACAAAGTTCCTGTCTCAACAGTTTACCACCACAAAATAGATGAAACGGGAGAGAAAATGTCAGAGTACCTTCAACATAGAACAAGGCTTTCTACTCTAAACCTTGGTCTTTACTGGGAAGATCTGTCTTATTGCCGAGTTGCGACGTAACATGTGTTTCTTCCTCTAGGTCACCAAGTCCGAGAAATATTCAGGCAGATA